AACATTCGCAGGTATTCTTATCAAATCGGGATTAAATAATAGTAGAGAGCAAAAATAAAGAGATTATATCGTTTGGAGTTTTTAAAAAAATAAACGTTTAAGAATCTTTCTATTAAAAGAAATATTTCTTAATCTTAATAATTTAAGTGTTATCGAATACGATATATTTTTGGATCCCAGAGATTAGAGAAGTTCTTCTAGAGAAAATTGAGAGAAATCTTCCACGGTATAAGTATAAATAAAATGCATAAAAATCAATTATCTATTCCCTCTCCGTGCAAAATCCAGATATTATCCAACTTTTCCCTACATTACTTAATCCCAAATCTAAATCAAACAGTCTTTACAAGCTACTCCAGTTTCAAAGAGATAAAACACGTTCTACTTCAAAGAAGAGATACATATACACATATAAAGAGAGAGAGAGAGAGAAGAAAAAAAGAACCTCTTAAAAGTTTCTCTAAATCTACAATTTCAATGATCCATTCTATTGAATCCACCTTCACCACAAGTAGTCAAATCCAAGAAAAACCGTCTACCAAAAATATAAACGATTCCAGTATAACAAAACAATATAATAAACTCGAACTTTTCCAACTCGAGCTTTAAAACCAACCGCACAATTTCGCTCGAAAAAAAATCCTTTATTGTATAAATCCTACGCAATAAACCTAAACCCTTCTTCGCTATTAAACCTTCACTGCCGTCATTAAAAGTCTCTACTAAAGAGCCAAAAAAAAAAAAAACCCGAATCGAAACAAAACCCAAGCAACTTCCACGAAGCGGAATAAAACGGAGGAGGGGAAAAATTGAACAAGGCGAAAGTGGAAGGCGGAACACGTGGCTCGATTTAGAGACGGGTCGCAAGGACGCGGCGCAGTTGCCGGAAAGAAAAAGCGTATACCTCGCGCAATTTAATCGGGGAGATCAGGTAGATCAGCTGGCGGAGGCAGGGAGTCTGGGGTGGATGTTGGGTTGGTCGGTCGCCGTGCGGATATCGACCCCGGGTTCACCGACCTTTCTCTCTCCGCCACCACCACCACCGACCCCTCCACCTGAGCCGCCACCTCCATCCCCCGTCGGCCACCAGCCTTCTTCTTTCCTTCTCTCTCTCTCTCTCTCTCTCTCTCTGTGCTACCACCCTGGCCCGCCAGCAGCTCTCAACCCTGCCAGATGTCCTCAACTCCTCCTCCTCCGGCACCCTTCATCGATCCACCTTGCGATGCCCGCTTCATTGAGGCTCCCTTCTTTTTATTCCTTTTTTTCTTTTCTTGGAGAGGAAGGAAATGAAGAAGGTTGAAGAGTCAGAAGGGAAGGATGAATTTATTATATTCGATTCGTCCACTTTGGAATCTTTGGAAATCGAGGACGCGTAGATTTTTGGGATAATTCTAGGCTACGTGGAGGAATATAAAGGTTTCTTTCTAATCGATGTGTTCTAACGATGATTGTGAAATATTGTGAAATTCTTACATAGAGCCAACAAATTTTTTTTTAATCTACGCGAACTTTCTAAATCTTCGAGATAGAATTCGAAGATTAAGAAATATAGAAAAGATAATAATTTAAGATTGAAATGTTGAAACGGTATTTAATTGAAATTCCTTATAATCTGTACAAGGAAATGTAAAACGTATTTGCTTCATTTCCTATAATATATAATGATCTCCTATTTCACGGATCGTTTCAACAGTGAAACTTCGAATATGATTTAACAAAAGCAAATCTTAATTTCTACTAATCTAAATTTCACTCGTTTAAAATCAAGCATTTCAAACATACCATCCATTCGCGTTAAAACAATTTTTCTACCCCGATAATTGATATATAGAAACTCGTCAGATCCCATATTTCAAACCTCTCTCAATTATCCAACCTGCCAAATAAAATGCATCGAACGAGCCCGGTTGGCGAATTTCAACATTCCTCCACAATCGGGCAACAGAGCAACGTTTTGAAACGCACAATTAGACATCGTGCATTATTCCCATTTCCTAGCCTTTCCAACCTAGCTGTCCCAACCTCGTTTTATTAACGAAAGCGTTCGCCTCGAGAGAAAGGATTAATGGACTCGATCCAGGGAATATGTTTCGCTATCTATCGAAAACAGACCGCTGCTCGGTTTCCCAACGACTGTGCAACGAAAATCGTTTCGAGCGGATCGCCGAACGATGGGAACTCGCCATTAGGCGAATGATAGAGCCACAGAGTTTCGAGACCGATTGAAACCAATTCTGATATCGAGATAATAAGAACGAGATTATTAGAATCGGAATTGGAGAATTTTTGGAAAAGTTTGAAGATACTTTTTATTTACATTGAGCAGGTTATGGAAAATAGTATAGTATTGGAAGATAATGTGAATGAAGTTTTAAAAATTGAAAATTGGAGTTATTTCTTATTATCTTTGTTTGTGTGGAAAATTCAATTTTGATAATTTTTGCGTATTGATTAAAAATATATTTGTGAATTATCGATAGGAATTTTTGCCTCCTCCTGCTTCCAATAGCTTCCTCTACTCTATACTTTTTAAATTTTGATAGACGATAAAAAGTTTTGAAATATAAAAATAAAAAGTTCAAAGTTCAATTTTTGTTATTATTTATTCAACCAATTCAATTTTGAAATAATTCAAAATTCCAAAACAAAGATTAAAAAGAAACAGAATATAATGAATATCTCATTCAACGCAACTAATTAATTAAACCAAATAATTCAACCGAACAATCCATTCAACTTCAAACTTTAAAAGATAAGAATAAAAAAGAAAATTCAATTAAAAATACAGTACACTCTTGTGTAACGAAATATGTATATTTCATTATATCCATCACGATCCAACCACTACTTTCTAATTCAACTGGAAATTCCAATTCAATTAAAAATTCAAACTCTTGGAAACGAAACAAACTTGAAAAGAGATTCGATTAAAAACACAGCCTAAACTTCAATTTCATTACACGATCAATGATCACTATCTCCTAATTCAGTGTCCAATCGCCAGCTCTATTCAACTTTCAACCCCAGACGGATACGACGAAATGGAAAACAAATTCGGCTGAAAGAAACCCATCCATTCAATCCCATTACTCAACTCAAACAAACAAACAAACAACCCCTCAGCCCGCTTAATTCAACTCCTATCCACAAACTTTCCCTTTAATTTCAAACGACATAATACGGCTAAACGAAAACCCTTCCCCTCGCGAAATAACCCGCTTCAATTTCATTACGCAACCCCCTTCGAAAACAATCCCTCATTTGGTCCACGCGCGAGAGAAGAAACGGCTCTCGATAATCAACGGGCAGAAAATTGGCAAGGGCCCTAAATGGGTCAGTTTACGACGAGTTTTCACGATTGTTCCGTCGACTGTTCAAGGGCCATTCGCTCTCAAATGGTAATGCCTTCGAGATGCATGATCGATCAGGAAAAAATGAAATTGATTACAGTTACGAACTTTTTATTCTTCATTCGCGGCAATTTTTTATTATGTTTTAACATTGATTCGACGTTTCTTAATCTTTCTTGAGATATTATTCCTTTTATATAAAAAAAAAAACTAATACTCTAATTTATAATTATATAAAAGTTATATTTTTAACTTTGGAATGTAATCAATATCGAATTCAATTAATTAGCAATGTTTCAAAAGACTAATTCTAGACTAATTTCTAATCGTGAAGAGTTGTAAAAGTATCGCTTGTTATATAGAGTTTTGATCGATAAAATGGAACTTTGGAAAATAATTTGATAAACTGTTGAAAAAAAATTGCTCAAGAATATTGCAAAAGCAATGATAGAGGAAAATAAACGATTTCTCTAATATTGCTCCGATATATTAACGAATTATCATTAGAAAGCTCTTGTTGAATGGCGATTTTTACAAATGGATTATTTTATATTTTATTCCTAAAATTACAAGCCGACGAATATCAGAATGTAAAAGTGACTTAAATTTATGCCTTTTCTTATTAAAAATGATAACCTTTACCAATATTTCCACGCATAGTGAACATCGAAAACATTCGATATCGATTGGGAAATTTGCGTGACCATACGCAAGGTAAGAAATCCCATGTATCTTGCCACTGATCTTTTATCTCGACATTATTAATACGAACGATTTCGTATGAAATAACGGTTTTGCCACTTATCACGTTATAGATATATAAGAACATTTATTTGACGCATGCACTTAATAACAGAAAAACGATCGGGAAAATAAGAAACGAGAACTGTATATAAGAAAAAACGAGAGTTCCACGGACTGACGACGAAAGGTAATTAAAATACAGAGTCGATATCGCGGGTAATATTATCGAGCGCATGTAAATTGAAATACGATATCAGTTAACGATACTGTCTGCAACGCCATATGCATTCTCATTACTGCTATATTAAACTTGATTCAATTATACGATACACCGATTGCGCAACTGATCAATGACCGATGCTTGAAAATTAACGATAAGACAATTTTTATTTCGGAATATAAACGAATATTGTTGAATATTAGGGAAGATATAACGGCAAAATCTACGTTAAAAAATAAATTGGAAATGTAAATGCGAGTAATCAGATCATAAAAATTAACGAGAGGTTAATTCTAATAATAATGAGTTGAAGAATTGTAACGGAAGAATTGTAAATGTACGTTAACGTGAAATATTTAGAAGAAATAATTTGAAACGTAACTAATCGAAATCTAAAATTAACGATAATCTAACTTTTCAAATAAGATGTTTGGAAAAAATAATTTGAAACGTGACTCGAAATATAAAAATTAATGAGAGGTTAATTTCGATTTAAAACGAATACAAAATAGACCAACTACGACGTATATCGAAAGTGAATAGACATAAATCATTTTTATTTGTAATATAAAGTTATAAAATTTAATGTAATGTAATGTAATGTATAATGAAATATAAGAAAATATGTAATTAAAATATCAATATAATATGTAAAAATGTAATAAATTAAATGATATAAAACTTACTTTTACGTAGAAAATCAAAACGACGCAATAATCGATGTAAACAAAACGACTTGCTACGCACAACTGCCGGAATTCAGCTTTCTCCCACTCCTCGCTTATTATACTTCGAACGTTTACATACATATTCTTACGAATGATTTTAATACGAAATCTATTCTAAATTTTTATTTAATAATTTAATATTACTCAAAAATATGCATTCTTCTCTGCACGTCAAATATTTGATTTTTATAATTATTATTTTATAACAATAAACACTAATTTGTATAGGTTAGTTTATATTTTTTCACTATAATCTACTTCCTTTAATCTATTCGTATAACGTTAAACTATTAACTAAGAAAAATTTATCATATATATATTCGCAATTAAAGTATTAATACGATGATTGATCGATAATTGAATGTAAAAGAAAGAAAAAAAGAACAATTTTTAAACACTTTTCTTACTAGCTCATGTATAGCAACATGATCGAACACTCGTATCGAACACTGTAATATTCACATTATATCACGATTCATTCATACAATATGACCTCAGCTTCTCGCATTTTTTTGAATCACTTTTCGATCTGTTAACACGACTAAGAAATGAATCGCTCGAGGTGGTAACGTTATCCGATGCACCCTACATATTAACATGTAAATATATGTAAATACAGAAGGTGGGCGCGTCTCAAAAGAGAACAGGATTGCCAACTCCACTTGCTTGGCTGCCATGTTACGTAATTGTTCGTTGCACCGCGGCACCGCTTTCAAATATGAGAAATGTCGAGATGTTTCGTAGTTTTATAACTTATAACGAGTCGCGAATTTCGTGCGATTCCTCAACAATGAAAATCGACAATGCTATACAATCTTGCAATGGCACGAAAGTATCTCGTATCGATTTCGCGTCATCGCGAGATCGTGTAATCGATTGCATGAAGTTAGGTTAGATTATATGAAAAAAATATTCGTTTATAATCGAGAAACGATACTGATCAAAAGAAAAGAATTGACGGAAGAAGATTGTAGTGTTATTTGAAAACATGATTGCAATATGTAATTTTCTATAACTGAGAAAGACGAGTTAACTTATGAATTATTAATATGTAATCAATCTTGGATGTAATAAATTTTTTATTTACGAATCTCCTATTTAAAATGTAAAATCCCCTATTCATCATTGTATTTATATTCAGACTATATTATGTCATATTCACACTTATCTAATAATAAATTTCAATTTCTGTAATAAGTTTTTGGTTAAGAAATAACCCTATTAATAAAATAATTTTAAAATATGAAAATTTTGTAAAAGTTAATTTTCTTTAGAGAATTATACGACAGAATATATTTTCGTTAGTTCAATTTTAAGCGTAACAAACGTGATGATAACCTAAAGAGGACAACTAAAATCGTGAGAAACGTAATGAGTTTATCTTTCGACCAGTTGACACGTCGAAATTGTGAAAAATGATATGAGATTAATGTACATTTATGTCTACGTAGAAAGAAAAATCACTGGCACGACACAAATTATAACAAAATTGCAAATAATCCACGTAATACGAACAAACACGTTCTTCTTAATCAACAGGTTAACTTTACAAAGAATGACGCATCGAAGTGAGGGCGTTTCAGTCGCTTTTCGATTCAAAATTCTTGTTTCTAAAAATTATTTTTTAATTTCTTTTTAAAAAGTGTGAATATTACAATTTTTAATATTATAGTATTGTATTATATAAATTATGACTTATAATTACGGATTGAATGATATAGCGTATTATATATGTGTATTATTCACATATATATGATGATCTTTACATAATCGAAATAAGTTTCAAGTAATATTAATTTTTACTTATTTATAATATGTTTATGCAATTAGAAGAATGGTTATGTCAATGTTAAAATATGGTTAAAAACATAGCAATACATCATATAAATTATTCATCAACATCGACCCATTTACAATACAATTCTTCAACATTACAGTGGATCACATTATACACATTATTTTCTAATCAGATTGATAACTAAAAACGTGGAAATACAGGCTTACGACACATCATGCAATACGTCATAAAGCATTATACACATTCCATCCCAATTCATCAAAGATCTGGAAGAAACATAATACATTTCCATTTACACCTTGGTAATTAACCTAAATAAAATATCCAACGCTGTAAAAAGTTGCGTTTATTTTTTCTTTCTCTCTCTCTCTCTCTTACAATTAACCGTAAAATATAACCATGTCATGTCTTTTTTACAAGATCCAAGTTCAGAGCTGCAATTTATGAAAATGTCACAGAACATTTTTTTTTACCGTCTAGACTTCATCAGCATTGAGAATATATAAAGAGAACATTGCTTTGATTTAAAAATAAAATAATTATACGTTTTACTCTAATTATCAGAAAAAAAAAACTTAATTTTCAGTTGCAAAAAACATTTGAACTCAATTGAAGTATTCCGTGTCGTTTCTAAACATTCTCATTTACCGATTCCCTCTACGTATTTTTTCTTCAACTCTATTGTTACGCTTATTTCAAGATTAAAAAATTACTTTCTTCTGAACGAATCAAACATGGAATAAACGAATAAAAAAAAAGAAGAAGAAATAGAAGAAGACACCCATTAAAAATTGAATATAAAATAAAATCTCGACTTACAAGATTAATTCAAATAAGGCAAAACATTACACGATTTTTAACAGAATCAAAAAGATCTGGAAGATCAAAGATTCAAAAATCGATTCTGATTCTGAATTTACGAATGACAACGGCAATTTATGATAATTTAAAAAAGAAAAAAACAACTGTATGACCGCAACAATATGGTTAACCCGGTAAAAGAGAGGAAAAAGAAAAAAAAAGGAAAAAAGTTAGCCGAAATGGCGATCGCGGTCAGTCGTCTGTTCGAGAGTAAAACAACCGGCGCACCCTCGAGGAACTACCACTCCCACGGTCTCTGATTATCATTTAACCCGTTTCAATATGTCGGTATTTCTGCCTCTTAACGTGCTTGGAATTCTTGGAAAGTTGCTGCCGGTGAACGTCAATCTTCGTAATCGAGTTTCTCCGTGGTTTGTCGCAGGATCGATGATCGACGTCGACTAGAAGAAAAGAACGATGTTGTTGTTTCTTGAAAAAACATTTCAACGAAATATCCTAACCGAACTGTATCTTAATCTTAATCTTAATCTTCCTTAAAAAAAAAAAAGAAAAACAAAAATATCCATAAAAGGAGAGACAGATCGTTCATCAAAAATTCCAAAAATTCAATCATCATCATCGTCCCCGCGGAAATTAATCAATTAATTAATCGATCACGAACTTCCTTCCCGCGAAACAGCAAGAAAAATCGAACCTCTCCTCTCGAAGAGAGAGAGAGAGAGAGAGATCTGCATCATCGTCCAACTTCGCCTCTCCCCACCACACTCCTCCTATCCCGACACGATTCTGCAGACGTCGGTCCAGCACTGACCTACGGTTTTTCCAGAGACGCCAGACGGGGATGCGCCCCTCCCTCCCTCCCTCCCCCAACGGATGCAGACGCGGTTGCCGCAACATGGAAAGAAGAAAAGAGAGCAGAGTTTATAGAGAGAGCGGTGGAGGACGGGGCAGAGGCGGGCGAACACGCGGTATAGACGTCGGGACGCTATCCGGTCGATACAGGGAACCGGCAGACTAGGAAGTAAACCCGGGCATCAACCTCTCTCTCTCTCTCTCC